GGTCACGGCTCCTCATTTTGTCAGTGAGCCAGTCCACCTTGCGACGAGTGTTGACGAAGATGACACTCTGAGTGATGGCTAATGTCTCGTACAGGTCACAGAGTGTTTCGAGCTTCCACTCTTCTTTCTCCACGTTCACGTAGAACTGCTTGATACCTTCAAGCGTGAGCTCATCACGTTTCACCAGGATTCTCACTGGTTTGCTCATGAACTTCCTTGTGATCTCGAGCGCTTCTGGTGGCATTGTAGCTGAGAACACTCCAACCTGGATCTTCGGTGGGAGAAGCTGGAATATGTCATAGATCTGATCCTTGAAACCACGGGAGAGCATTTCATCAGCTTCATCAAGGACAAACATCTTGATGGAGTCAGAGCGAAGGGATTGTCTTCGGAGCATGTCAAAGACACGTCCAGGAGTTCCAACGACAACATGAACACCAGCCTGGAGAATACGCTGATCCTCACGGACACTGGTTCCACCAACACAGGCATGGACCTTGACGCCAAGGTAATCTCCGAGAGCACGCATGACCTTCTCAATCTGCTGAGCAAGCTCCCTGGTTGGAGCCAAGACGAGAGCTTGGCACTGGACAAGGGAGAAGTCAAGCTGCTGCAAGACACCAGAGCAGAAAGTGGCGGTTTTGCCAGTACCAGACTGAGCCTGCTGGATCACATCAAGACCCTTGCAAAAGGGTACGATTCCTCTTTGCTGAATAGCAGAAGGCTTTTCAAAACCTAAGAAAAAAAACAACAAATCTTTCAGGGAATCGCAGAAAGAAAAAAGATGTGACTATGATGATTCATGACATACCATAGGCATAGATACCCCTAAGAAGGTTCTCTTGCAAACCCATGGCATCAAAGCTCTCATGGACCTCATCATAGGAGGTGAAGAACTCATCCTGTCCCTCGAGCCTGTGCACCAAAATAGAAATAAAAATTAGCAGAATACAGCAAAATATCATTATATATTTTAAAAAAGTAAAGATGTTAAAAAAGACATACACTTCATTGAGCCTTTGGTCAAACTGACGAGTATCAAACTGTGTGCCTTCTGGTGCCGATCCTGCCATGGCTGCAACAGACACATACACACATAAAGACAAGAATTCAGATATGAAAGACAGCTTCTATTATGTATAAAACACTATCAAATCAAGCATTAATGTCTGAATATATCTATATATGTTCATGTCTGGAGAGAAACAAAGCTCATCCAGTATTATATAGATAGCATCCAGAATATAGACATCTCCTCTCCATAAAAGCAAAGCTTTAAGATAGTGTGAGGAGACATTAACATCGAAAGTTAGGTACTTTTAGGGTTTCAACCACTAATTAATTCATGTTACGATGACAACAGAGTTACACAGATCAAATTGAAAACTATAGAATTGACACCCAAATCAAATCGCAAAGACATTAAAATTAGAAGAGAAGATTCAAATCTCAACAATCGCAAATAATAAGAGTCCGAACCTTAAGGTTGAGTAGAAGGATAGAGAGATGAAAACAAAAGTGCAAGACTTTCTAGAGAGAGAGAGAGCTTGAAATCTTCCAAGCTCGGATCTGAAGCGATTCGTAATAAAAGAGATAAACCAAGAAAGAGCGATAGATGGATGTAGAGAGAGTGATTGAAAACGTGTTAGCCAATCACTTCCTTTTATTTATCTGAAAGGGTCTTAGGGTTTCCTCTTATTACCACTTGTTCTTCTTTTTCTATTTACGAATTTCCAGTTTTACCCCATATTTTCCTCTTTCTCACTTATCCACCTCTCTTATGATTTCCTGAGCCTTACAAATTAATTAAACTAATTTATATAAATATATTAATTACTTAAAATATATTGTAAATTAGTATACTCGTTATATATTTTAAAATAGTACAAAAATTGCAACAAAATTATAAGAAATTATAAATATATAAACTAAATACATAAAAATTTAATAAGCGTATTTAGAGAAGATAACATAAACCAAATATATTTATCATATCATTTATAAATAAATTCATCTAAGTTGTTACCTAATATGAAAAATAAAAATATTAATCCTACTTTAATTTTTAGTAGATTTTATAATTGTTCTAAATGTGAATAGAATAATTTTTTTTTGACATAGAATATCTAAATGTGAATAAAAAATATATATATTTACACATTTTTAATAGAAAAATTCGATTTTACATTTTACCCTCACAATGCTGATCTCTACCTTTTTCACTTTCACACTAATAAAAAAAAGTAAATATTTTATAATTTATTTATAATTTATTTATAATATATCACAATGTATAATCTAGTGTAGCATGATCTATATTTATTTTACCTATTATCTGTATATCCATTCATAATTTTAATGTACAACATTAATTTACATACATATTTGTAAATATTGTATAATTTATTTATTATGCAATTGAAAAGATGAACGAAAAATATTCAAAACCAACTCCATAGTAAATGAAGGGAAATTGCTAAAACCAGCACATTGATAATACACTATTTCACCTTTACATTAATCATCTTTACACTTAAAATTTTGATAGTCAAAAGACGATAATATTCTTAATTAATTAAACTTAACAATTTTAATAAGGTTTTGATGGATTAGGGTTTAGAATTTATGGTTAAGGGTTAAGAATTTAGGATTTAGGGTTAAGAATTTAGGGTTTAGAGTTTAGGGTTTAGAATTTCGGGTTTAGAATTTAGGGTTTAGGGTTTAGAATTTAGGGTATATAATATAGGGTTTAGGGTTTATAATTTTAGGGTTTAGGGTTTAGAATTTAGGGTTTAGGGGTTTAGGGTTTAGGGTTTTAGAATTGATATTTTAGTGTTTAGGGTTGATGTTTAGGGTTTAGGTTTTAGGGTTTATGTTTTAGGGTTTAGGTTTGAATTTCGAAATAATATAATTCAAAAAAAAATATTTTTTGTTTTTTGTGTTTTTTATTTATTTAAATATTTATTTTATATATATAAAGAACAAGGGTATAAAAGTCTTTTATCCTTTAATGAAAAATGTATTTTTGAAAATTTCCCCACTCTTAAGGTAAATGTGAATTAGTGTATCTAAAAATGTGTATTTATGCAATTCTCCCAATGAAGGGCATTTACGTTGATGTGTATTTACACATATCTAATACAATAAAGTAAGCTTTTGTATCTCCATAGGGTATTTAATGACATGTGGCAACTTTAGTTTTTAATATATTCGAAATCTAATTGCTTACGATTCTGAGTTTATTACATTTCTTATGGGCTCAAACTGAAGCTAAATATCCTTCAACCGTCTTCTTTGTTGTTCGCCAACTCTTCCTCTATTCTTGTCCTAAAAATTCCAAATTTTTGGGATTTTTATCCTCATCTTCACTTTATATCATTCTCAATCTAAGTCTCTGTTCCAGTTTTCTTTTTGAAGGTGGTTTGATTTCTCACCAAACTGAAGCTAACAGTAATGGGGATTTCCAAATTATACATTTCCGACTTGAAGATTGGTATTTTAAGGATGTGGTGGTGACACGCAGAGGCGGACCCACAGAGGAAAATGGAGTGTCACCTGCAACCCATTAAATCTGTATAAATATTAATTTGTTCAGTAAGAATCTGTAGTTTTGCTGGTATATTGTTCTTTCTGACCCCCTAAACCGCGGTTCAAATCTACCTAGTGACACTTTTATTCATTTTTTTTAGATATATAGTTTGACCCAGGTAAAATAAATTCTTGGATCCACCACTGGTGACACGTCTTCTTCGATTCTAGAAGTAATGTACTCAGAAGAAAGGAGGCAAGCTGATTGGGGGTGGACATAGTATTGGTTGACTAGAATGTACTGAAAATCTAATTTTTTTTATATAAGAACTTGGATTTAACGAATATTTGAATTAGTCACCCTAAAATGCCACAATTTTCATTTGCAGACGATGTTGATACAAGGTACCATCACTGCACATCGGCTCTACACATTTAAAAATCTACTGAGTGAATATGTTGTCTACGATCTTAGTGTTTTCTATGTTGCTAGAAGCAGTAACCACGTCAGACTGTGCGCCTCCCCTATCTTTTTTGATTTAACGCGCAACCAGACAACCAGCTTTATCAAGGTTGTCGACCCGGAGGTTAATATCCCTGCGTAAAAATCAAGGCTTTCAAGTCTGAGCAGCTAATGGCTCTCTCTCTCTAAACACCAACGTAGGTTTGCCCGATATGTATTTAATTTTCATCTTTCAATTATCCATTTCTATTATACTACATCGGTTTAGGATGTATATTACAGTTATGTACATTTCAGATTTTTTGGTCAGGATAGGAGAATAAACACCATCTACAATGACAAAAACGAGTTGATACAGCGTGTTATTATGGTCACTCTCCAGCTGGACAAGTACTTAATTAGCCCCTACTCAAGCACCATTAAGTTTTATGTTTTAAAAGTTTTATTTAACGTGATAGATGTTTCTTACTGATAAACTCCATCAACGTCTGCATGTCAACCACTGTGTCAATGTGTTTGATAAGGTTGCATGAAAAGTTAGTCCTCTTGAAGTGGAGACAAAGGTTACGACTTCACGACAGTTACAGCATTAGTCCTCTTATGTCAATTTTTCATATGTCATTTACAGTAACATCAATGCATCAGTTTTCGTGCTCTCTTAATCTGTCTGCGCATGTCGCTTAATTATTCCTTGATGCCACATTAGGGACACACTTTTACTTTTATCATATGAAAGCCAATCCACTCAATGTTTCTTAAAAGAGTCAATTATTTTTTCCTATAGTTAGTTACTACTTCACGATTGTTACAGCGTTAGTTCCCACATTAAACATACCAAATGCAGGCTCGTAGGAAATAGAATGGTTCCTCTGGTATATCTTCCATATATGGTGGTGTTAAGAAATTTGAATATGTCACACTCTTTGAACTTAATAGCTACGTTCTGAATTCACCCCACATGTATGTTCACTGAATAAGGATGATTGCATTTAGCTCAGAGCTCATGTGTACTTTCATAACATGACCATTTACATGTTTTGTTATTTTACGTTGTCCCTCCTTTTTCATAGTGTGTACAGTTAACTTATCAAAACGTCCCTTACTTGAAAATAAGAGATTTTTTGTTTCGTTCATTCTCCGTTTGATCATTTATCTAAGTTTCATATTTAAAAAATTATTTCAGTAACTGTGAAGTTTTTGATATAGCATCATGATACATGTTCAAATTACCCTATGGAGCAACTTACTCTCTCAGATAAGAGATCTGTTGCAGTATTTGAGGATCAAATAAACAAGGAGCTATGTAACCTATTAAATTCAATCAAACAATAAAACTAGGTGAATATAAATAGTAAATCGCAATAAGCAAGTAAACAGTAAAGAGAAAATATTCTAACTGAGCAAGACAATTACTCGACAAGAATGGAATGAGGGTTTTGAACTTAAATGGAAAGGTGTTAAACTTAGGATTTTTATTCAGGTGTTGAAGATTATAAACCTATAGCTATCTACTTGTTTTCATGGTATTAAAGAGCATTAACTATCTTAACAACAGTTTTACTAAACTTTCATTTAATAAATAAGCTTATTGACTAGAATGTTGTTGACCAAGACAAGAATGTCCGATCAATGATAGTGTCGATCGATTATTCTATAGGAATATCGATTGATTCACTTTACTCGACGTCGATCGATTTCCAATGGGAATATCGATCAATGCGGCTAGTTAAGCGTTACACGCGAGTTAACAAACACTCACTATGGATCCCTAGATCAAACTTTTGCTCTATCTCTAGTAAAATCCTGGCTTAGTCAGGATGTATTCAAGACTATCAGAGTTATTCAAGGATGTTTAAACAACCTAACAATCCTAGATTCAGGTTTCTAGTTAGCAAGTCTAGAACATAAGCATTAAGAACATCCTATTAATGAATACCACAACAAGCGATCCTATAGTTGGGGCTAATCCCACTAACTTATTTAAACCCTAATTCTAACAAGTTAATTACTCAGACATGGCTAAGCAATTCATAACACAAGCAAAGTAATAAAACTGCATAGTATTAGATAGATAGAAAACAATGGAATTTTAGTCACAAATCTTTCTGTTGATCTTCTCTCCCTAACTATAACTCCTAAAACCTTTTGCTGTGAAAATAATACAAAAAGTTATCTCTACCTCTAACATTTAGGCAGAGTATATAAACTTAGGTTAAAACTCACCAGGGGTAAAATTATCATTTGGTGATGTTTGGACTTCAAGTCGGCTGTCTCGCGAATTGGTCTTCCGCGCCTTCGGCATCGATCGATCATGCTAGGTGCATATCGATCGACGTGAGTCACTCCATGTCGACCTCGATCGTGTTGGTTGATTCCAAATCGAGTGATTCGCTTTAAAATGCTCCAAAAACATTACTTTCTTCCAAAATACTTTTGAACCAATAAATATGCTGAAAAGCTTCTGAGTATAATAAATAGTAGTTAGAACACCAATATACCATGACTAATAGTGGGTCAAAATCATGGTATATCAAACTCCCAGACTTACCATTTTGCTTGTCCTCAAGCAAACAAAACATGCAGTTCTCTCAAAGAGGTTGAAAAGAATATGGACTCACGGATTTTAAAAATTTGAAATCATAACCTCTATAAATTGCAATCCATATCTAAGAAGTTCTAATCACAGAAGTTCATTATGTCATATCCTAGCTTAGCAACCAAATTCATCTAGTCAACAACTTAGCAAATATCTCACATTCCCCTCAACTAACCTCATTTCTTAACATAAAATAAAAGTGCAGGCTTTACCTTGGGAGTATCGATCATAGGATGCAAGGAATTCTCAAACAAGTATCTAGATCTGCAGGTAAAAGTTAGTTCGTGTCTTTTCTCTCTTCTAATTTCTCTCTTTAGTCAAAAATCTGCTTCTAAGGCATGATTATTGACCAAGATTTGACAGGCTTTCATGAAACAAGCCTTAATGGTGGTTGCCACCAAGTCATGATCACTTCTTTTTGACCTATATCCAATAATTCATATGAAGTGAGCCTTAATGGTTGTAGCCACCAAGTCACATTCGAATTCTTTTATTGGAATCATTATGAATCAAGCCTTAATGGTTGTAGCCACCAAGTCATGTTTTGATTCCTCCTAACTAAAATACTAATAAACTTAATACTATTTTTGGATTTTATTTTTGAAACTTTAAATCTACTTAACTATCTAGGGTCGAAAATAGAGAGAGAGAAGGTGATAAATCTTCACAAGGCTTTACCTTCCAGACTTGTTTGAAGAATCTGATCCCATGTATACCAAGCCCCAAGAAAAGCAGTTGTGTCAGGTTTAGTGTTGGAGGTCAACTTTGGTTCCTTCAAACAATCTAAGCAAGTGTGAATAGCTAATTGGTTGATCCACTTTAGCATCTTTAGTACTGTATGTAATCATTAGATCTAGAATGGTGCTAAAAAGCGGTTAATTAACAAGTATAAATCAAATACGATCACTATCCCTTTTCTTGAGCTTAATAAAAAATTTGAAAACAAATTTTTATAAGACTGAAAGCAAATAAAATATCAGTAAACCTCCCCCCAGACTTAAATTACACTGTCCCAGTGTAAAAGAGTTGGAGTTATGGCGAAAGAAAAGAAATCATAAGTACTCAATGTAACAAGGAGGAATGATGAACCTGACCGGATTAAGAATTGATTAATGTGTAAAGGAGAACATCGATCATTGCAGGTGATTGTCTGTCGATCGATATCGACTGTTCTTCATCGCTCGATGAGATGGTCATTTGTTTCTCCTTGGATCTTTGTTTTTTATAAAACCTGCAAAATGAAAAATGAAAAAAATCAATAAAGTAAAAGAAAACCAAAAGAAAAATTACCTAATAGTGGGTTGCCTCCCACTCAGCGCTTTGTTATAGTCATTTAGCTTGATTGTTGATGTATGGTGAGCTATTGTGTGGAAAAGGAGCTACTTCTTTGAAAACAAGTATCCACAACTTCTCTGTTGATGATGAACCAAGTAGCCATAAAACTTCTTGTGGCTTCATCACTTCTAGCCCATCTTTCATCTATCTTTATAATTGTGTCTGCGATGTTTTGAAATCTCTCCTGAAGACTCTCAATGGTGATGTCGTTCCATTGAACCTGATCATAGACATATTTTGTCAGTTCTCTTGATGTCTTGTTGGTTAATTCAGATCAAACTAACTCTCCCTGTAACAGCTTCTCTTGTCCTGGTACAGAATCGGTATCGATCGTTGCGACTGCTATGGAGTCGATCGATTCAGGTGGAACATCATCGATCGATTCAACTTTGTTCTTGTCGATTGATATGAAGTTTCAGGTCGACAGAGGGTTCTTGTCTGAATTTCCCTGACTTCCTTTTGCAGCCATTTTGTTCCTGAGTGTAATCCACTGATGATGTTGTTGAAGGGAAGAAAATATCAGCACATCTCTTGTCAAGCCTATCCTCGGTGGTGGTCAAAGCTTTGTAGATCTTATCAATGATCTTGTCAACTTCTGCTCTAGTATAGAATTCCTGCTCTGGTAGCTTCTTCGCGTCGATCAATTTACCTCTGTGTTTGTCGATTGATGATGAGGATGTTAAGTGGAAATCAAGTTGCATCTGAATGGTGGTGACTTCTTGTTGCAAAGTAGTCATCCGGCTGTCCAAGGTGTGTAAGTACCGCATAAATGGGGATGTGTAGTGATTGTGCTCATCTTCGCAGATCTTCATTTGTTTCCCGATGTCCAAAAGCTTAGCATCGATCTGTTTCTTAGCATTTGTATCGATCGATTTGCTTTTCTCATGCTTCTCTTTGCGGATTGTATCCAAATCCTGCTGTATCAACTCAATCTTCATACTTAACCAATTGATGTTGTTGGTGAAGGGGTGATAGATCTCGTCAATCCTTGCATCGAGATATGCCTCGTCCCATTTATCCATCTTTCTTGTCGACAACTTTCCCTTTTCTGGTTCGTCATTCGCATCAATCGATGCGTCCTTTGTGGCGTCGATCGATGGCACACGCTGTGTCTTCATACGAGCTAGTTCTGCTTCCATCTCTTTCATGCGTAGTCAGTCCACTGATGATTCCTTGGAGAATCACATACACCGTATCCATATTGTTGTTGAGCTTACCCATTGCTTCTTTCTGGCAATCACTCATGCAACCAACCATCTCATTGATTTCGTCCTTGTTGTAGAGCTCTGGCTCTAAAACCGCTCCATGATCTTTGTTGTGTTCGATCGATACACGTATCGTCATGTCGACCGATGGATGAAGGTCCTTGACGATCGATGGTGGCTTGGCTGTGTCGGTCGATTGTTTCTGCATCACGCCTAGTTGCTGCTGAAAGAGATTTTCTAGTTCATTGGCCATCTGAAGGATTTTAGATATGTCTTCCCTGGAAACTTGTAGAATCCTTCCATCCATGGCTCGTGCATTACCTTCTAGGTTCCTAATAACACCAAATTCATCTGGTTTTAGAAAATCATCAATATAATAATCTCTAGTTAAAATAAAAGTTTTAGGGTTAGAATCGATCGGTGTAGAAGGATATGCGTCGATCAATGGTAAATGAGAGGTGTTGATCTTTGGCTGGTTGAATGTTGCACTTGTTGCTTTGCCATTATGATCTCCGTAATTTTTTCCTCTCTTGCTCTGTCTCCTAAAG